GTATTCATCAGTTCTTGAACTGCTATAAAGAAATACCTGAGACTGAAACTAGCTGGGCGAGGTGGCGGGCGCCTGTAGTCCCAGCTACTCGGGAGGCTGAGGCAGGAGAATGGCGTAAACCCGGGAGGCGGAGCTTGCAGTGAGCTGAGACCCGGCCACTGCACTCCAGCCTGGGCGACAGAGCGAGACTCCGTCTCAAAAAAAAAAAAAAAAAAAAAAAAAGAAATACCTGAGACTGAGTAATTTATAAGGAAAAGAGCTTTAACTGGCTCATGGTTCTGCAGGCTATACAGAAAGTATAGTGGCTTCTGCTTCTGGGGAGGCCTCAAGGAGCTTCAAAGCAGAAGGCAGAAGGCAAGTGGGAGTACGAGTCTTCCATGGCAGGCACAGGACAGAGAGGGAGACAGAGGAGGTGCTATCCACTTTTAAACAGCCAGATCTCGTGAGAACTCACTATCCAGTACCAAGAGGGATGCTGCTAATCCATTCATGAGAACTCTGCCCCATGTCCAATGGCCTTCCCCTGAGCCCGACCTCGACCTCCAACACTGGGGATTACAACGGATCATGAGACTTGGGTGGGGACACAGACCCAATCCACATCACCCAGACAAAATGTTTATTTTTATCATTAACTATTAGGCAGGCATGCATGTGCAGAACCTGATAGAGGTCATGACTAGTCTGAAAGAATGTTTAAGAAATGGCCAGTGTATCAGTCAGAATACGATACATGATGCTGCAGTAACAAATGGCTCCAATGTCTCAGCAGCTTACAAAAATAAAGGTTTACCTCTCATTCGTGTCCACTGCAGAGGGCCAATATTTTCACGTTGGGACCCAAGCTGATGGAGCAGCCTCTAGAACATGACTGATCTCATAGCAGGGAAAGAGAAAAGCAAACCAAAAACCCCACAGCAAGTCACATTCTGGCTCTTGAAGCTTCTGCTTAGAAGTGACAAACATAACTTCTGCCCATATAGTATTGGCTAAAACAAAGTATGTCTCCAAACCTGATTTCTGTGGGGCAGGGAAGTCTGATATTACCCCAGGGATGGGTAATTAATATTTTTGAAAAAGAATAGGAATATTTTGAATAGAATGCTTCACTAGGCGGGCTGTGGTGGCTCATGTCTATAATCCCAGCACTTTGGGAGGCTGAGGTGGGCGGATCACCTGAGGTCAGGAGTTCGAGACCAGCCTGACCAACATGAAGAAACCCTGTCTCTACTAAAAATACAAAATTAACCAGGCTTAGTAGCGCGTGCCTGTAATCCCAGCTACTTGGGAGGCTGAGGCAGGAGAATCACTTGAACCCAGGAGGTGGAGGTTGCAGTGAGCCAAGATTGCGCCACTGCACTCCAGCCTGGGCAACAGAGCAAGACTTTGTTTCAAAATAAATAAATAAATAAATATAATAATAAAGAGAAAAGTTAAATAGCACAGATATTATGTGCAATAATTAATCAGATGTATTAAAATATATATTCTTCAGAAAAAGACCCTTAACACAGTATCACAGATAGATATTGCTAAGGAACTGAATAATGTAAGTGGCTAGGGGAGACAGAAACTCTCAGAGATGTGTGCCCAGGGGCAACATGGTTCCACAGCAGATATGGCTGTTGGGATCCAGATTACAGCATTTTTGGGAGGCTCTAAGCCCTAGTGCCCAGCCCCTTCCTCCGGTGATCCATCAGAAGTAAAAAGAGGAAGGCAGCAATGTAGCAGAAGACAATATATAGGATAAAGTACTCCAAAGCCAGTAAGCACCATCTAGTGGCAAGGGGATAATTTTTCCCATTTTGTATGTGTCGTCAGATTCAGACTGTGTAGGACAATTTGCATTGCTATCAGGGTGTGAGAGTTGCCAATGTTTTTGTTTTTTGTGTGTTTTTTTCTTTTGTTTTGTTTTGATTTTTGAGATGCAGTTTCACTCTGTCGCCCAGGCTGAAGTGTGGGGGCGCAATCTCGGCTCACTGCAACCTCTGCCTCCCAGGTTCAAGCAATTCTCCTGCCTCAGCCTCCCAAGTAGCTGGGATTACAGGCGCCTGCCACCACACCTGACTAATTTTTACATTTTTAGTAGAGATGGGGTTTCACCATGTTGGCCAGGCTGGTTTCAAACTCCTGACCTCAGGTGATCCTCCCACCTCAGCCTCCCAGAGTGCTGGGATTATAGGTGTGAGCGACCGTGCCTGGCAGAGTTTACAGTGTTCTACGTTGTCACTAAGCTTACTAAGGTCAGACTCACTAAGTTTTCTCATTTTAATGAATACAGCATAGTATTTCTTATAAACTGATAGTAAGATTTAGAGGCTTGTTGCTGGGCCCAGTGGCTCACACCTGTAATCCCAGCACTTTGGGAGGCTGAGGTGGGTGGTGGATCACCTGAGGTCGGGAGTTCGAGACCAGCCTGATCAACATGGAGAAACCCTGTCTCTACTAAAAATACAAAATTAGCTGGGTATGGTGGCACATGCCTGTAATCCCAGCTACTTGGGAGGCTGAAGCAGGAGAATTGCTTGAACCCAGGAAACAGAGGTTGCGGTGAGCTGAAATCGCGCCACTGCACTCCAGCCTGGGCAACAAGAGCAAAATTCTGTCTCAAAAAAAAAAAAAAAAAAAAAAGATTTAGAGGCGTGTTTCTGATTCCATTTTTAAAATGTATTTATTTAGGCCGGACACGGTGGCTCACGCCTGTAATCCCAGCACTTTGGGAGGCCAAGGCGGGCGGATCACCTGAGAATGAGAGTTCGAGACCAGCCTGGCCAACATGGTAAAACCTCGTCTTACTAAAAACACAAAAATTAGTCAAGCATGGTGGCAGGTGCCTGTAATCCTAGATACTCGGGAGGCTGAGGCAGGAGAATTGCTTGAACCCGGGAGGTGGAGATTGTGGCAAGCTGAGATCGCGCTATTGCATTCTAGCGGGCAACAAAAGCAAAAATTCCGTCTCAAAAAAAAAAATTATTTATTTAGGTAAGGATATTTTATATATGTATACTCTATTTTTTTTTTTTTTTTTTTTGAAACATGTCTCGCTCTGTCACCCAGGCTGGAGTCCAATGGCATGATCTTGGCTCACTGCAAACTCTGCCTCCCAGATTCAAGTGATTCTCCTGCTGCAGCTTCCGAGTCTACAGGCGCGCACCACCAGCCCCAGCTAATTTTTTATATTTTTAGTATAGATGGGGTTTCACCATGCTGGCCAGGCTGGTCTCGAACTCCTGACCTCAGGTGATCCACCTGCCCCGGCCTCCCAAAGTGCTGGGATTACAGTCATGAGCCACTGCTTCCAGCCACTTTATATATGTATACTCTATCCTCTATATATTTCCTATGGTACCATATCAAGAGGCACATAATGTCTTGTTATCAATTAATCAAATGTGGTTCCAATGTGGTTGGCCTGATTCATCAATAGATACAGTAATAAGATCTATCTTTCACCCAGTGGTTTTAGAAACCACTGATGATTGGCCAGGCATGGTGGCTTATGTCTGTAATCCCAGCACTTTAGGAGGCCGAGGTGGGCAGATCACGAGGTCAAGAGATCAAGACCATCCTGGATAACATGGTGAAACCCTGTCTACTAAAAATATAAAAATAAGCTAGGTGTTGTGGCATGTGCCTGTAGTCCCAGCTACTTGGGAGGCTGAGGCAGGAGAACTGCTTAGAACCCAGGAGGTGGAGGTTGCAGTGAGCCAAGGTGGCACCACTGCACTCCAGCCTGGCGACAGATTGAGACTCCATCTCAAAACAAAACAAAACAAAACACTGGTGATTATTACTTAGACTCATCATTTCATAAAAGTTTTGAAAAAAATAGTAATTTTCTAATTTTATTATTCCTTCTGCATTTATTTATTTATTTATTTATTTTGAGATGGAGTGTCACTCCTGTTGCCCAGACTGGAGTGCAATGGCACAATCTCAGCTCACTGCAAACTCCACCTCCTGGGTTCAAGCAATTCTCCTGCCTCAGCCTCCCGAGTAGCTGGGATTACAAGCACGAGCCACCACAATTGGCTTATTTTTGTATTTTTAGTAGAGACGGGATTTGACTATGCTGGCCAGGCTGGTCTTGAACTTCTGACATCAGGTGATCCACCCACCTTGGCCTCCCAAAGTGCTGGGATTACAGGTGTGAGCCTCCGCGCCTGGCTAGGAATTGCTCTTAAAGAAATAGATTTTCTATTTTGGCTTTAGAAGAAATATGTCATTTTTATGGATAATTTAACCGTTGACTAAAATATAGAATGACCACAACTAGAGTTGAAAAGAATTTCAGAGACAGAGGATTCTGACCCTATCATATAACAAATTCAGGCTCTGGGGCTCAAAGAAGCCAAGTAATTAACTTGAAGTCACATAGTTTATGAGAAACAAACTTGCCTTTAACTATAATTGGCATTGTGGTCAACGTATAAAACTTACGGAGAACATTATCCAGAAAACTAGGAGGTATAACATTCATCTTTATAACAATTCCACTACATTTAAATGATACAGGAAGTTGAATGCATTGCATCAAAGTCAAGGTACTGGGCCAGGCATGGTGGCTCACGCCAGTAATCTCAACACTTTGGGAGGCCAAGGCAGGTGGATCACTTGAGATCAGGAGTTCAAGACCATCCTGGCCAACATGGCGAAACCCAGTCTCTACTAAAAACACAAAAATTAGCCGGGCATGGTGGCGTGTACCTGTAGTCCCAGCTACTTGGGAGGCTGAGGCAGGAGAACTGTTTGAACTCAGGAGGCGGAGGTTGCAGTGAGCCAATATTGCACCACTGTACTCCAGCCTGGGGGACAGAGTGAGACTCTGTCTCAAAAAATAATAATAAAATAAAAATAAAAATAAATGATACAGAAAGTAGAATGCATTGCAGCAAAGTCAAAGTATTGGGCCAGGCGCAGTGGCTCACACCTGTAATCCCAACCTTTGCCTGAGTTCTTGTCCTGTGTCCAGGAAGAATGAGGCACACAGACAAGTGGAGAGTGAGCAAGACAAAGAAAAGCTTTATTGAATCTTAGGACAGCTGGGAGGAGACCCACAATGGGCAGTTCCTCTCTGTAGGCAGGTCATCTCCTCCAGCGTTCAGCTCTCTGTAGAGAGGAGGCCCCGGAGGCCCTGGAGTGGGTGGCTCCACTCTGCAGGCAGGTCCCTGTTGACTTCCCAGCTCTCAGCAGAGAGGGTAGCTCCTCTGCAGCTGGTCATCTAGTCTCCGGTTGCTTCTCCATCCTCTGCCTTGCTCTGGTTGAGCCTGGGGTGTTTGTGGACCTCAGAGAGGAGGAAATGCATGCCGATTGGTGCATGGGCACCCAGAAAAGGTACCACAAGTCCCCACTCTGGTCTGTGGATCTGGCAGCCCGGCCTTCAGCCTTCAGGCTCTCCCTGGTCTGAAAGTGGGGTCTTATCGGGTACCCGCCGGCTTCTGCCCAGGAATCTGCCTCCCACTGCCATTCATGGCCCCTGCTCAGCCCAACTTTGCTCCGAGATCAGAGTGGGTGTTGACAGCCAACAGCAGGGAGAAGCCAGGCAGTGGGGGCAAGAGTGGAGGGATGCCTGAAGCTGCAGCCACAGTTTGGGTGGCTGCAGTGGCACCCGGGAGAGCAGGGCTCCTACCTGCTTGCCCTGGAAGACCACAGGAAGACTCAGATCTGCAGTTACAACTTGGGTGGCTGCAAAAGTTGCAGGCTTGCAACTCGGAAGGGGCAGGGCTCCTGCCAGCTCCATGCAGTGTGTAGTCCTGGTGGCACCTCCCTGCTGCAGCGGGGGCAGGCTGTCTGGAGCGGCTGCTGCCACGAACTGGAGGAATGAGTAATATATCAAGAAGGCAGTTTTTGAACAGAAGTATATTTTTTCATTATAATATAAACATTTGAGAATTGTTATTTCTAAAATTTCTAGTCTGAAACTATAATATAAATTAGAAAATATTTAGATAAATTCATCGATAGTTGAACAGTGATTGACCTTTTTTTTTTTAAGACAGAGTTTCCCTCTTGTTGCCCAGGCTGGAGTGCAATGGCACAACCTCGGTTCATTGCAACCTCCACCTCCTGGGTTCAAGCAATTCTCCTGCCTCAGCCTCCTAAGTAGCTGGGATTACAGGCATGTGTCACGATGCCCGGCTAATTTTGTATTTTCAGTAGAGATGGGGTTTTTCCGTGTTGGTCAGGCTGGTCTCGAACTCCTGACCTCAGGTGATCCACCGCCTTGGCCTCCCAAAGTGCTGGGATTACAGGCATGAGCCACCACGCCCGACCCAATGATTGACTTTTAAAGTTGAGGTTAAATCAATATAATTATTTCACTGAGTAACGCTTTTCCCCGAACTGGATTCATTGTAAATTTTAGACAGCCTAATAATCTGATCCCAAATTATTATATTCTGTTGTCCTTACATTCACTCATTCAACAAATATTTGAGTACCTACCAGAAAATTTTAAAAGTCTAGTCTTTTTTTTTTTTTTTGAGATGGAGTCTCGCTCTGTCGCCCAGGCTGGAGTGCAGTGGCGTGATCTCGGCTCACTGCAAGCTCCGCCTCCCGGGTTCACGCCATTCTCCTGCCTCAACCTCCCGAGTAGCTGGGACTACAGGCACCCGCCACCTCGCCCAGCTAATTTTCTGTATTTTTAGTACAGGCAGGGTTTCATTGCATTAGCCAGGATGGTCTGGATCTCCTGACCTTGTGATCCGCCCACCTCGGCCTCCCAAAGTGTTGGGATTATAGGCGTGAGCCACCGCGCCCAGCCTCTAGTCTTTTTTTTTAATAAACAATCTTCTATTAGCAATTTCATATTCTACATAGCAAGTTCAGAATTTTATGATGCCTGAAATTAGAAACAAATACAGAGAGTATTAAACCTTGGATATTGTGGAGACAAATATGTTTGATGAATGACCTTGGAGGCCCGGAAATGAGAATGGCTAGAACTGGGGATTCCAGCAGGGGCAGCAGCGGCAACAGTCACGCCCGAGGGCTGCAGAGGGAGGCAGCGGCAGAAGTGGGTGCCCGCTGGGCCTGGGCTGCCCTCCCCAGGGTCCCTCCACCTCCGGTCTCCCTGCCTCGTGGTGTTGTTTCTGGGCAGACTTGTCTTCACCACACCACATCAGCAGGAGTGTGTAGTGGACACAGACGGTGCCTGCTGGTGTCTGCCCGGTTCCCCGCCGCTGCCAGGCAATGCCGGCAGGAGTAGATAAGTGTGTGACAGAGGCTGGGGTCAGCCCTGCGGGGGGTGGGGTAGACAGGGGACGGGCACAGCTGCCCCGGGGTTCCCTCCCAGGGGAGGGGCTGCTCTCCAGACCTTGTCCTTCCACAGGACCCGAGGCCTCTGCCTGGGTGGGGCTACCGGAGGCTCTGTTATGTCACCTGTGGTGTCCTGTCCTCCAGATCCTTGTAGAGCTGGGCTTAGGGTGCAGGCTGCAGGGACGGAGGCTACAGGGACGGAGAGCAGGACCACATGAGGGCTTGGTGGTCCAGGAGGCCTTCTGAGGGCAGGGCCCTGGGGTTGCATTTTGGGGAGAGGCTGCCACAATACAGCAGGAGGAGCAGGGATGGGGGTGGCAGTGTGTGCAAAGGCCCGGCTCTGGGGGTAGGGCTGTTGTTTAGCCAGCTGGAGTGCCTGGGAGATGAGATGAGAGGGGCGGGAGGGCCTCTGCTGATGGTCTGGGGGTGGAGGATCGGCTGAGCCAAGCCAGGAGACTGGAGTTTTCCTATAATTGTAGGGCCCTGTGCCCACTCCCACCTCTGCTCCTCTCTCAGCCCCACTGAGGCCTCTCCGGTGGATCTCACAGGCTGCCCCCACTCGCCCCATTCTCCTGTCCCATGTCTAGCCTCAGGTAGCCTGTGCCTGGGGAGGGGAGGGGAGGGGAAGGGAGGGGAAGGGAAGGGAGATGAGGGGAGACTAGGAGAAGGGACGGGAGGGGAAGATGTGCAGGTCAGTCTCCCGGAGGGGAGGCTCTATGACAAGATCCCACAGACTGGGGCTTCAGCAACAGACTTTTCTTTTCTCTCAGTTCTGGAGGCTGAAGTCCAAGATGAAGGCGCCATCATGGTTGGTTTCCGGTGAGGCTTCTCTTCCGGGCTTGTAGGTGGCCCCCCTCCCGCATGGCCTTTCCTCCGTGTATGCAGAGGGGAAGAGAGAGCTCTCCCGTATCTCTTGCTCTTCCTGTGGAAGGGCCTCCCCGTGGCCTTCTAACACCCTATCGCCAATACAGTCACTCAGGGCATTCCCTCTTCAACATAGGAGTATTGAAGATGGGGTTGGTGATGTCACAGTCCCATCTGTAGCAGTGTCCGTAGGAAATTCCCACACTGGGGCCAGGCACGGTGGCTCACACCTGTAATCCCAGCACTTTGGGAGACTGGGGCAGGCGGATCGCTTGAGCCCAGGGGTTCAAGACCAGCCTGGGCAACATAGCGAGACCTTGTCTCTACAAAAAATGCAAACATTAGCTGGGCATGGTGGCACGTGCCGGTGGTCCCAGCTACATGGGAGGCTGAGGCAGGAGAATCCTTTGAGCTCAGAAAGGCAGAGGTTGCAAAGAGCTGCGATTGTGCCATCGCACTCCAGCCTAGGCAACAGAGTGAGACCCTGCCTCAGAAAAAAACCATCAACAAACTTCCCACACTGAGAGAGCCTGCTCCAGGCTGGGGCCTGGACTCAGCCGGTTGCTGTGTGGTCATTCGCTCTTCCAGAAACGCTCCCAGCAGATTATGTTCCCATTTCACACGGAGGGTGAGTGCAAGGCAGCCCTAGGTGACTCCCTCTAACTCCGAACGTGTAAACATGGGTTTCCCCAGCACTGTCCAACCCCAGGCTCACTGGGACACCTTCCCGGGCTTTCCATCTGATGCTTTTAGGGCCCAGCAGCCACAGGTGTCTCAGGGAGGACGCTGGGCCCAGTGCTGGACCCTGCTGGGCAGGTTCCCTCAGCCGCAGGGCAGGTGGCCGGTCCCATCTGGTGGGCCCATTCCCCCTGCCTGAGTGCGCGGATGTGTGTGTGTGTGAGTTTAGTGTGTGTTCTTGGCCCATTCATCCTTCAGCTTTTGTGTTTTATTATGTAATCATTTTGCATGAGTGCTTCGTATATGAAGGATGTTAGTTAATATTTGTTTAACAAAACACATTTTGCATCTATTGATTAAAAAAGAAAATGGTGATAACGGCAATCCAAGGACCCGGTGGAAACTGGTGAAGGCTGGACTGAGGGCTCAGGCAGTGGTGCGTGGAAAAGGTGCTTATTGTACTTTTGTTCTTGAGATGAAGCCAGTGAGGGCTAGGGGATGTTTCGGAACCTCTGTGCCAAGAGGAATCGGGTCAGCAAAGAGAGAGGAGTGGGAGACGGGGTGAGTCTTACACGCACAGCCTTTCCCAGGAACAAATTCTCTCTTAAATTGCAGCATTAGGAAATTACCTCAGAGCTGGGCACGGTGACTCACGCCTGTAATCCCAGCACTTTGGGAGGCCGAGGCAGGGGGGTTGCTTGAGCTCAGGAGTTTGAGACCAGCCTGGGCCACATGGCAAAACCCCGTCTCTACTAAAAATACAAAAATTACCCGGGCATGGTGGTGGGCGCCTGTAATCCCAGCTACTCGGGAGACTGAGGCACGAGAATTGCTTGAACCTGGGAGGCAGAGGTTGCAGTGAGCTGAGATCATACCACACACTATACTCTAGCCTGGGCGACAGAGCGAAACTCCATCTCAAAAAAGTAAAGATAAAAATTGCAACCCTCCCTAGCTGAGCGTGGTAACTCCTGCCTGTAATCCCAGCACTTTGGGAAGCCAAGGCGGGAGGATCCCTTAAGCCCAGAAGTCTAAGACCAACCTGGACAACATAGTAAGACTCCATCTCTACGAAAAACAGGGGAAAAAAATTAGCTGGGCATGGGAGTGTGCACCTATAGTCCCAACTACTTGGGAGGCTGAAGCCAGATGATTGCTTGAGCCTGGGAGGCTGAGACTGCACAGAGCTGTGATTGTAATTCTGCACTCCAGCCCGGGCAAGAGGGAGAGACTCTGTCTCAAAAACAAATAATTGCGACCCTCCCCCATGCATCTGCTGCTTGGCTCGGGAAGGAGCTGACTCTCCCCACTGACCCCGGAACGTCCTGCTCTCTGTGATGACGTGGGCTCGGAGACCGTTGTTTGCACTGCGTCCCGGGATGGATTTACACAGGACCACGTGCCTTCTGCTCCCTTCCACTCCCGCCCGCGTTCCCTGTTTGTGGTTCTTATCATTCTGCTTGCCTGAGTCATTGGTCTTACCAAAAACAAGAGCACAGTGGAGGTCACACCAGCTGCAGCCCAGCATGGACAGACGGACGACAGCAGCGAGACATCAGGGGCTCCTCTGCTTCCCTCTGCCCGGCACCTGTGCTGGTCCCACCAGGGTGGCTGTGGTCCTGCAGGGGCGCTGGGCAGAGAGGGTGCTGCCCAGCCAGGCTGTGAACACACCTGTGCCCTGTGCCCTGTGCCCTGTGCCCTGAGGCCCACTCCTGGGTTGAGGGGAACCCGCTCGCTCCCACACCAGACATGACCTCTCCCACAAGCTCTCACTTCCTCTCTGCTGCCCTGTGGCTGTCCTCCTTGTCACGCAGTTGGCTGCCCTTGTCTGCACCACAACGCCCTGCCTGGAAAGGCCCCTGTTTGTCCAGGCACCCAGGGCTAGAGCCAAGCGCAAGGCATCACTGCCTGGACGCCTGAGTCCAGTGGACGCTCCCATGGGACCCGTGTCCCTCAAACGGAACCCTGCAGCTCAGCACTCCAGCTGCATCCCCTGTTGCCTCCTCACCTCACCCCAGGCCCACCTGGC